CACTGTGTAGCTGAGATTGACCCTTGGTCTCACTGTGTAGCTGAGATTGACCCTTGGTCTCACTGTGTAGCTGAGATTGACCCTTGGTCTCACTGTGTGCTGAGGTCAACCTTGAGCTCCCCAGGTAGCTGAGGCTGACCTTGAACTCCTGATCCTCCTGCTTCTACCTTTCCAAATGCTCAAATCACAGGCCTGTGCTACCACATCTTTTGCCCATTTTTAATTGGATTGTTCATGTGTCTTGTTGTTGAATTGTGCCACTGAGGTTTACAGGGAAGAGAGACCGAGGCCCTGAGAGGGCGTGACTCAGCTGAGAAGGGGCTCATGAGCCATAGGGACTGCAACTTGAATCTGTGTCTACCTCTGACCCAGCAAGTGGGGGTCCACCCACTCTGCCCAATGGAGCAGCCTCCTGTACCCCACCTCAGGCCGTGGCAGGTCCTGGTCATGCATTTAAAGGGGCAGAGCCCTCGCAGCCAGAGGGTGGGTCAGAAAGACTGGAAGATAACAGTTTTGAGGAAACAAACCCACCCTCTCTTCCTCTCTGCATCACGAGGACCTAACTGACGTGGCCCAGGAAGAGGGGACAGCCTGGGCCCTGTGGTTGAGGATCCTATTTATACTGGCTGTTGCAAGCCTTTCCTGCTGGCGATAGCGACGTCACTAGGAGCTGACCTCACCAGAATCGCTGACGCATCTTCCCTCACACTTTGCCTGGCTGGTAGTGAGTCCCCGCCTCTGGGCCTCTGGGCCACTCCTACTGCTCCTGTGTAGCACCAAGGACCCTCCACTGGTGTCCCCATCCTCTAATCCTGACTCCTCTTGTAATCTGTTATGGACTGGAGCCTGTTCCTGGAGTCACAATGTAAATCCTAACTCACAGTATCTCAGATGGGACTGTATTTGGAAATGGGGTCCTTCAAATGGTAAATCAAAACGGGTCATTGGGGGGCTTTGAGTCAGTATGTCTGGATTAGGAAAGAAATTAGGGGCTGGGAGACAGCTCCACCAGTAAAGAGCTTGCTTTGCAAACATCAGGACCTGAGTTCAAATCCCTGGAATCTTTGTAAAAAGCCAGATGTGGTCATGCAGGCCTGCAACCCCAGCACTGTGTAAGGAATAGAAACAGAAATGCCTGGAGTTTTCAACTGCTAGTCTAGCTCCAGATCGGATGCTGGGTCCCACCTCGAGGGGTAAGACAGGATGTACAGTGTCCTCCTATGGCTTCCGTGTGCACACGCACACTCCCATGTGTCCACACAGCATATACATGCACACACATACATTACACACACACAAACAAACACACACCCTTATATACAAATGTGGAGAGTAACAGAGGAAGACACTTAACTATGCTTAGCTGTGAGCTCTGGCCTCCACAAGCACAGACACAAGTTGTACGTGTACCTGTCCTCGTAAGTACATAGGCATGCATGTACCATGTACAAAGAGGTCAGGACACAGAAAATGCAGAAGCAAATGACTATATAAGACACCGGGAAAACATGCCGGCCATCCACAAGCCACGGAGCAGCCACGTGGTGTGGCATATTCCAACAATCCCAACACTAGAGAGGCCAAAGCAAGAGGAATGAGAATCTGAGGCCAATCTGGACTTCAGGGTGAGTCAGAGGCCAGCCTGGGCCTGAGAACTGTCCTAAATAAATCAATAGCTAAGGAGCTGTCCCTGGGAACGAACCGGCTCCAGTGACGGCTTAACTCAGATGTCTAGCTCTACAGTGGTAGGGAGTGCACTTTTTGTTGAGGCTGCTCAGCCTGTGGGACACTCGTCCGTCCATAGGCTCCTTACCAGAGGCTTCAGTGAGGTGTGCACAGAAAATGAGGCTGGACTAAGATGGCCCCTCGGTAAGGAATGTGCGCAGACTTTCTTTGCTGTGATTCCCTAGCGACACCGTTGTGTGCACGAAGCCTTTGCCTTCTGCTGGGGACTGTCTACAGGAAGTCGTGTGGAGGTTCCGTGCATACACTACGCCATTTTTAAAAGGGTCTGAGGCTTCTGTAGACTTTGGTACCTTTGGGAAGGAGACCGCCAAATCAGTCACTTGTGTGTACCAAGGGTCAGTTGTACTGATGATGACAGTTCCAGGAAAGAATACATATACGCAGACCTTGCCCTGGGTGACAGTTCTGTGCACAGAACACTTAGATTGGCCCCCGGGCTAAGAGCATGGGGGGGAATGCTCTTCTTCCCTTCCTTTGCTATTTGTTTTTTTATTATCTGGTGTAGAAGATCCTTCTGTCTGTGTGTTGCTTTTATTGGTTAATGAATGAAGAAACTGCCTTGGCCTGTTGATAGGGCAGAGCTTAGGTAGGCGGGGGGGGGAAGGGGGGGCAGGGGGGGAAACTGGACTGAATGCTGGGAGAAGGAAGGCGGAGAGAGAGAGACACACACACACGTCATGGAGCCGCCGCCGGAGATAGACGTGTTGAAACTTTGCTGGTAGGCCACAACCTCGCGGTGATAACACAGATTAATAGAAATGGGCTAAATTAAGATGTAAGAGTTATCCAATAAGAAGCTAGAACTAATGGGCCAAGCAGTGTTTTAATTAATATAGTTTCTGTGTGATTATTTCGGGTCTAACCTAGCCGGGTGGCCAGGAACCAAACCAACAAGTGGCCTCTCCAACGTTTATTTATTTTTGGTTTATTGGAGACAGGGTTTCTTTGGTGACTGTCCTGGAACTTGCTCTGTAGCCCAGGCTGGCCTTGAATTCACAGAGATTTGCCTGCCTCTGCCTCCCGAGTGCTGGGATTAAAGGCATGCATCACCACCACCCGGCTTCCTTCCTTTTCTTTTCTTTAGTAATAGGATGCTATGGACATCAACCGTCCAGGCCAGCACCTAGCATTGGCGGACACTGGCAGCCCCTTTTACTTGATTTACTTGAATTTATTTGTTTGAGACAGAGTCTCCCTGGCTGGCCTGGAACTTGCAGTGAGTATGTGACTGACTCCCGAGTGTTGGGACCGTATGCCCAGCTGGTGATTTGATTTTGAGATTGGGTCTCCCTGTTTATCCCAGGCTGGCCTCTGGTTCACACTCCTGCCTCAGCCTCCCGAGAAGCTGTGATTACAAATGTGTCCCACCAGGCCAGGTTTGGGTGCCCTCTCAACTCTGCAGGGTGGCCTCCAGGGGGGCAACTGCACCTCTCTCTGCCTTTGCTTTCAATGGAGGAGCTAGTGAAGGGTCCACGGTGGGAGAAAGGAACGCTGAGGCGAAGGAGGGCCTCTTGCCAACACAACACAACACGTTCTCCAGCCAGACCTGGCTGCTCAGAGCTTCCCTCTGTGTCCCTGCCCCAGTGAGATGAGGCAGCTCCCACAGAGTCTGGGTGCAGGGGCAGAGGAGCTGTTCCAGGATGACATCAGGGATGTGAAACGCAGAAGGAGCCCTGGCCAAGGCCCTTAGGGAACAGTACCCTGGGGTGGGCAGAGGTGAGAAACTCAACGGGAGGAAATGAAGGCCTCAGGAGGAGGGATCTAGACTGGGCCAGCCTGATGGGGTGCTGTCAAGGGGAGCACCCTGCTGGGCACAGGGAGCGGGTGGGTGGAGACACAGCTGCCTCTGGATGAGGAGTGGGGGTGAAGATGTTTGTTCAATGGATACATGAGGACCAGCGGCAGGGTGTATAGCTGGGGCTGGGCTCTTTCTGCAGTGTCCCCGCAGCCGAAGCAGCTCAGGCCCCCCCCCCCAGAGTCCCAGGGCCCACACCAAGGCCTCCTCAGGCTACCTCTGGTCCCTGAGGTTACAGCCTGAGGATGCTCATTGTAGCTTGGTAGACATGCTGGGGCTTCCAAGCGTGGCCTGTGGACCTGGGTCAGCCTGGGTCTCAGTTTACCACAGTAAAGCAGCTCACCAACTGGGAGCCACTGTCTCCAGGGCCATAAATGGTCACGTTCAGCCAGTGCTGAGAAACAGGAGACCCACCCATGATGGATCACTATCTTTCAGAGAAAGTGAAACCTGGTCTCCAACTGCCACCGCAGCAGCCCCCCCCCCCCCCCCAGCTTCCCTTCTGAGCTCACGGCTTCCCCATCTCCTCCGCCCCCTCTGTATCCCGTCCCCCGAAAACTAGTACTTGGAATTCGAGTTTTGTCTTTTCCTTTTATGTCCATGTTGGCAGTGGGCCTTGTAAGGTGAACCAAGAAATGCTTTTCTCATTCTCTTTTCATTTCACAGGTGAGGCTCAGAGTTGTTAAGTGACTTGTCTCACGCCACACAGCATGTCAGAAGGTTTGAGATCTAGTCTCTGTCTTGTCCTGAGTGCCCAAGTCTTCTTAGATGATCCTGTCTACAGAGAGGGGACCTGGGATTGGGAAGGATGTAGGGGACAGCTACTGGGGGAAATGGAAATGTGGACTTGGGCTAGAGGATGCTGGTCTAGGATTAGAGCCACAATCTTGGGGCCCGAGTCTGGCTCTGTGCCCAGAGCCTGGTGGTTTCCGCTCACAGATGTCCCGACAGCCCAAGCGAGAGGGTGGGAAGGGCACTCAACGAGGAAGATGTCTAGCTCCTCTTTAGCCCTAAACCTCAGTGTCCTGTGAGGTTGGTGGTTCCTGGGCCAAAGATGGCCTGGGCTCCCAGAGGCCTGGCTTTGCAGCTCCTGCCCTGACCCCTGAACTGACTCCCTGAAGATGGCATGGACCCCCGTGCTGCCCGCTCACTCCAAGAAGGCTGGGCCTGCGGTTTACATCATCCTTGGGCGTGGGGCTGACCTCGAAGAACGAATTCGAAGAAAACGGGAGGAGGAGCGGGCTTGTCATGGCGCCCAGCGCCCATTGGCCGCCTGTGGAGACTTTGGTTTTTGGGGTCATGTTCCCAGAAGGCCTGCCCTTCCCCCTCCCCCTCCCCACCCACCTCACGAGGTGTTGGCCAATCGCCCTGTCGGGCATAAAGTGGCTGCCAGCCCGCAGGACACCCAGCCGAGCCCTGTCAACCCAGAGCAGCACGGGCCGAATCACCAGCACCCAGCATGCGGATACAGCTTCCACAGAGAACACTGCTCAGTAAGTACTTCCTTCCTTTCTGCCAGCCCAGGGCACAGCTGTGCCACCCGGCGGCTGTGGGCACTTCTTCCCTTGGGGAGCTGCAGATCTAGCATCAGGTGAAGAAGGATGCTGATGAGAGGGAGAACTAGAAGACCAGGGGTCCGCTGAGACCCCAGCATCCCTACAGGTGCAGATGAGGTATTCCTGGAAGGCTAACCGAGGGAGGCGAGATAGACTGTGTTGGGGACCAGAACATGAGGAAAGAGGATAGAGCAGAAAGAAGCTGGAGAAGCCTGGGGCAGATGGGAGAAGAACAGAAAAGGAAGTTGCAGGAGACCTGTGAGGAAGTGGGGCAAGTCCTGGGATGGGGCCTCCTTCTTGCCCTGATTCAATTCCCAGGGTCTAGGGTAGACAGAAACTCAGCAGAGTCTGAGGGCCTCAGATCATCTCGCTTCACGCACAGCCACACCCCCATGGAGACAAGCAAACAAAGCTGCCAGTATGGGTGAGGGGCTTCCCACACACTGATACAGGAAGGCTTACCTGCAGACCAGAACCCCGAAGAACCGGGAGGGTACCCCCAGTGCTTCACGCAGCCTATGGGCACACCCCTACAGGCTCTGGCCCACGTGCACTGGTTACATGCTCACCGTGGGCCCTCCCTGGCAGTGTAGCTACAGACACCTGGGGAAGTTGGGGAGGGGACTTGTGGTTGGCACGCCTGGGCTCCTGACTCTCCCCAGCAGCTGGCCCTCCCCAAGGGGCTGGTCGGTTTGTAGGAAGGGAAGGATGGTGTCACAGCCTTCCGGGCCATTGCACCACAGGCCCCTTCCGACCACGTGGCTGCCGGTGCCTGAGGGTGGGGGCCAGCAAGCTGGAAATATGCTAGTCTACCCTCACCCACCCCCACTACCTTCTCGGGGACTCCCAGTATCTCTGGTGTGCGTATGCGTGGGGCTTTTTTGACGGAAGGGCAGGGAGGTCGAGGAGAGTTGTGGGCATGTGTGACCTGAGTAGGACTTTCTCTTGTACCTAATTCACCTTTTAGTAGACCCGGTGTCCCATAGGTGGAGAGTGCCTTCCCTGGCTCTGTGAACAGAGAGCAGCTGCCCTGGGGAGTGGGGGTGGGGTGTGCACCCAGGTCCACTACTTCATTCAGCCTACATGGGATGTTATGGTCTGTACGGAAGTCAGGGACCCCAGGTCCACTACTTCATTCAGCCTACATGGGATGTTATGGTCTGTACGGAAGTCAGGGACTTGACCAGTCAGTCTTAGGTCGAGACCAAACCTTGTGTGTGAGGCCAGCCGTCTCCTAGTGGACCCAAGGCCAACAGGGATGCTTGTGCAAATGCCCAGCTTCCAGGCTTGGTGATTGCAGCCGCCTCCTCACCCTGTTTGGTCTGTGTGGTGACTCACTGGGAAGGTGGTGGCCTCAGTGAGGGTTCCTATGCAGACCAGTGCCTGCTCCATGCCCAGCTCTTGCTCTGAGCTGCACAACCAGGCATGAGGGTTGTCCATGCCACCAGCGGGTAACCATACCCTTCCTGTCTGCCCCAGGTATGGCCCTCAGTCTCCTGTTCCTGAACATGGCACGGGCCACACGCGGCTGCTCCAGCTCTTCTGCACAGCTCCTCAGCCAGCTGCTGAATCAGGCGAACATCACGGGGAACACGGAATCACTCATGGAGCCCTATGTAAGCCTCAGTCAGCCCTCAGGGTACCCGAGCCCCAAAGACTCTTAGGGACTAGTGAGAGAGTGCACACATGGAGGTCCTGGTAGGGACAGGTGGGGGAACTGTGTTTGCTGGGGACAGTGGAGCTGCCTGGCTCCCGGCTCTGTCCCTCGGTGACCACCTGCTGTCACCTGATGGTTTGGCACATGTTCTAGGTTCCCAGATATGGGAGAGAGTGAACTAGTCCAGTGCTTCTGCAGCCCCCACCGTACCTAGGGACCCTCACCCAATCCACTGCCCACAGTGACCCCCACGGCCCCAGCAGCCCTCCCGTCCCATCTCTGCTACTCAGACTCATCTCTTCTACCTTGGCTTTTGTATCTCTTTGCTGGCAAGATCACACAAGATCTAGGGTTTCAAAGGCAGCAAAGGCAGGTTCATCTGTGTGTATTTGCGGGGTTTTGGCATGCAACCCTCACTCTCTTCCTTCTTCAGCTCCTCCTCCAAGGCCTGAACACAACTACCCTGAGAGCTGCCTGCACCGAGCACCCTGTGGCTTTCCCGAGTGAGGACAACCTACGGGCACTGAGCAAGCCTCGTTTCCTGAACACTGTCCACGCCACACTGGGCAGAGTCTGGCACCAACTGGGTGCTTTAAGACAGCAATTTCTGAACATTAAGAATTTTCCAGAGCTGAAGAGGGCCAGGGGGAACATTCAAGGCATCAGGAACAATGTCTACTGCTTGGCCCAGCTGCTCCACCACCACCTGGAGATACCTGAGCCCACACAAGCAGGCTCTGGGGCCTTGCCGTCCACTACCACACCAAGCATTTTCCAGGCCAAGATAGACAGCTGCCGCTTCCTGTGGGGCTACCACAGCTTCATGGGCTCAGTAGGGAGGGTCTTCAGGGAGTGGGGAGATGGCCCTAGTCGCAGACGGAGACGGAGACGGCTCTAGGCTCACAGTCCGCAACGCAGCCTGCTCCGGGGCTGGCGCAAAGAAGCCCGCAGAATCAGACCCTCCAGGAGCAGCCAGAGCTCTAAATCCAGGGTGCAGGTGCCCCGGTAGCCTGAGGATACACTGACGGACACAGCATAGTCTGTGGATACGGGATGTCGCCTCTCAGAGGCTTTCAGGGATGCTCCTACATTCAGAGCTTTGAAGAACAGCACTTTAAAGCGTGGCTTCGGGTGGCCCCTCCCACCACGACTGGACTGCAAGGGTAGTCAGGTTGTGATGCCCCACTCCAAGCCTCCAATCTGAGTGGGGCAGCTGGGTCAGGCCACGTGGGGTCGGCTTTCCATTGATTCAGGGGTCTGATGACACACGCTGACTCACGGCTGGGCTGAAACCCCCAGGCTGTTGGTCCTTTCCTCTCATGACTTGAAGCTGTTGCCTCCAGACTTCCTCCTTTCCCTGTGGCTGAGTTCCAAAGGGGAGGTCAGGTCCAGGGCTCTCTCCTGTGTCTCATCCCACCCAGACCAGATACCTGGACGTCTGGGAGACCTCACATTTGCCCGCAACAGGGGCAGGGTATCCTAAAAGGAACACGGATGGAGAAGTTTAGGGGAAGAGAGTTCAGAGTCCTGGCTTGTTCCCCGAGTCTCTGTATGGCTGTGGTCAGGACACTTTATATATCTGAGTGTTAGCTTTCTCTATGTAAAGCTGTGGTGTGTGTGAGTGTGAGTGTGAGTGTGTGTGTGTGTGTGTGTGTGTGTGTGTTTGGGTCCTTATTTAAGGCTCTCACCGCCTGTCAGCTGCTGGACTCTGTGACATAGGGTGGACATCAAAGTCTCTGTAAATGGGAACAGGGCGCAAACGGTCATAGGGTGGGTTCATGGGAGCTCTCCCAGCGCCTGTAAGCCCTGTCGTGGGTCCTCGCTGCTTGTTGCTCCCTCTGGTGGTGTATTGTGGAATTTTCACACGCTGAACCGGTCCTCCCGGAAGGGGACTCAAAAGCAGATGAGTAATTAATTACTTGGAGAGACATGACTAATTTATTGTTTTTTATCAGTTTTAATCACTTTTATATTTATAAGGCTTATTTATAAATGTATATTTAATGTTAATATTTTGCTAACATATTTAAAACTTGCCGAGTTTCTAAAGTTGGTGTCAGTCTTTTCTTATGCGAGGTTTGGAGACCTGCCTGGGGGGAGGCCTTTAGGTGTCAAGGCCAAAGATGCTGCGCTCTAGATTAGAGGTCTGAGTTTCCCTCAGAAAGGGAAATCCCGCGGCCACAGCTGTGTCACACACGTGGAGCATCTCCTTTTCCTTAGCCGCGCATGCGTGATTAGGCTTTTCCTGGGGAGATACAACATGCGCACATCTCCTCGGTACCAGAACGGGAGCCCATAAGCGACTACAGTTCAAGGCCGAGTTGGCGAAGCAGCGCGTTCTATCGGTGTTACACACAGGAGCGTGGTGAGGGGTTACTCAGGGGAGGGATGAATCAGAAGCAGATCTTCCCTGAAAAGCCCACCCAGCGCAGGTGGCAGCAGCAGCAGGGTCTCTGAGCACTGTGCAGTCCGCTGACAACCCACTGTCCCCTCTCTGAGGCATCAGCTCAGCGCCCTTCTCCAGCACCTCCTCCTCCTTATTTTCTGGGGAGGGACCCTTCGGACTCTTGCGAGTTTTTGTTCTCCCAGAGCTATGAACTTTGGTTTACTCCCTGAGGCTCGTGAGCCTCCTGTCTCCTGGACAGTGATTCAGTTTTGAGGAAATTGTCCCGGAACCCTGTCACTGAACCTGGAGCTCCCTGTTTGCTAGGCCATATGCCTCTTCTTCTGCAACTTGGGGGTTACAAACCACCCTCCCTTTAAAGATTTTATCTGTGGGTCTGCGCACACGAGTGCAATGTTGGTGGAGGCCAGGAGAGGGCATCAGACCTCTTGGGACTGAAGTTACAGATAGTTTTGGGGGCATGTGAGTGCTGAAACTCAAACTCCAGTCCTCTGCAAGAGCAGTAAGTGTTCTTAACTGCCAAGTGTTAGAAATATTTCCTAACATCATCTCCCTGCCGATACAAAATTCCCAATCAAGCCAAATCAAAACAAGCCAAACTAAGAAATATCCAGGTTTAATGGGAGTTCTGCACTCTCAGGTGGCCCCGAGGGGGAACCAGGAAGCAGCAGGAACGCTACCCCTGGGAGGAAAAAAGGGAGACCACCTGTGTTCCTCTTTTGGGAGATCATTTAAATAAATACCCTGGGGAGTGGTCCTGACCCTATCCCCAGGGAGGGGTCAGGACCTGGCATGCCAGGATTTGGAGTCCAGACCAGGCCTGGGGGCTGGGATAGATGCGAGGGACTGGGGCCTACACTCCCAACTTGACACCGAGCTAGCTTCCCAGCTCTGGGCACACAAAATTTAACCACCCAAAATTTATAACACTTTTTTTAAAAAATGATTTATTTATACATGCAGAGTGCTCTGCTTGCACACCTTTGTGCTGGAAGAGGGCATCAGGTCCCATTACAGATGGCTGTGAGCCACCATGCGGGTGCTGGAAAATCGAACTCAGGACCTCTGGAAGAGCAGCCAGTGCTCTTAACTGCTGAGCCATCTCTCTAACCCCAAAATTTACATTTTCTAAAAAAGATGTCTGTCTGTCTGTATGTATGTATGTATATGTGTATTTTATTTGCATGTTGGAAGAGGTCATCGGATCCCACAAGACTATAGTTATAGACAGTTGTGAGTCACCATGTGGGTGCTGGGAATTGAACCCAAGACCTCTGGAAGAGCAGTCTGTGTTTTAATTGCTTAGCAATCTCTCCAGCTCCACAAATTTACACATTAAAAAAAAAAAGCTAGATGTACTCCCCCATACTGACAGTTATGTGTACCCTATGGCTGTCTTGTTTGCGATTGGAGACAGTTTTATATTAAGAGTATTTAGGGGCTGGAGAGTTTTAAAAACTGCTTTTCACACAAACAATACACGAAAACAATTAGCATAGACACATATGACACAATTACATGGAATCTAGGGGCACTCATTTAAAAAGTAGAAAGTTTATATCCCTGTATCTTTAAAACGAGATGCCGGGTGGTGGTGGCACACGCCTTTAATCCCAGCACTTGGGAGGCAGAGGCAGGCGGATCTCTGTGAGTGTGAGGCCAGCCTGGTCTACAGAGCTAGTTCCAGAGCCGGAGCTCAAAAAACAAAACAAACAAACAAACAGACAGACAAAAAGGTGTGGGGCAGGAGCTGGAGATCTGCCGCCCAGGTTGAGAGCACTGGCTGCTGGCTGACCTTCCAGAGGACCTGGGTTTGATCCCCAGCACCGGATGTGAGGAAGGGTTAGTAGCTGTGCTGCTTAGTCTTTTGTCACCTGGACACAAGCTAGGGTATCTGGGAAGAAAGAACATCAATTGAGAAGACCCCTCTATTGGACTGCCTGTAGGGAAACCTGTAGAGCAATTTCTTGATGGATAACTGATGGAGAAGGACGCTGGCCATTGTGGATGGTGTCACCGCAATGGGCAGGGGTCCTGGGTTCGATAAGAAAGCAGGCTGAGCAAGCCATGAGGAACAAGTAAGTAAGCAGCACCCTCCATGGCCTCTGCATCAGCTCCTGCCGTGAGTTCCTGGCCTGATTTTCTTCATTGAAGAAGTGTTCCTCTAGTGTAAGCTGAAAAAACCCTTTCCTCCCCAAGTTGCTTTTGGTCTTTGTGTTTTTTCACAACAATAGAAACCCAAAATAAGATAGTAGTTTAAAAGATCAAAAGATGGAACTTGTCATGCAGACTGAAGATATTATCGCTTCCTCCTTCAAGAGCTGCACAGCCCAGAGAGAGATGCTTTTACCAGTGAAAATGTTTTCCTCAATGTAGTTTTAAGCCAGGTGTGTGCGTGTACGTGTACACATATATATGCATGTGTTGTTTTAATTTACAGTGAAGGTAAATCATATTCCCCATGATTTTATTTGTATATGAAAGAAAAAGGAAAGAAATGTAAGAAGTGTAAGTTTTGGATTAAGCATAATCTGGACTTTGGTACCCTTACCTAGATTTGGTTATGCTGGCCAACCTCTTCTCTTGCATTAGGGAACACAGACTTGTCCCATATAGCTGTTTCCCCAGCTACCTTTTAAAACGTCTTATAAAGAGGTAACATGTGCAGATTAAATGTACTTATTTCGATCTTAAAAGTTAGAGAAGTCAACCTCTGGTTCAGAACACTGTGCGGGAGGAAGCTAGTGGACTCCTCCCTGCTGAAGCTGCTGGCTTTTCAGACAGCTCAGACAGGTAGGAAAGTGGAGAGCAGTGTCAAGACTTGGGAAGCCAGGCAGCGGTGGCTCATGCCTTTAGGGAGACAGAGGCAGGTGGATCTCTGAGTTCAAAGTCAGCCAGGCAACACAGAGAAACCGTCTTTTTTTTTTTTTCGAGACAGGTTTCTCCATAGCTTTTTGGTTCCTGTCCTGGAACTAGCTCTTGTAGACCAGGCTGACCTCGAACTCACAGAGATCCGCCCGCCTCTGCCTCCCGAGTGCTGGGATTAAAGGCATGTGCCACCACCGCCTGGCCAAGAAACCCTGTCTAAAAAAAACCAAAACAAGCAACAACAACAAACACCAGATATGCTGGAAACAGAAAGGGATCTACCAAACAGTATGCTTAAAAAAACAGTGCAGAATAAACAAATGGACATTGACCAAACCAAGGGAGGTCTGAGAGAACTGGGAAAGAGCCTGCTGCAGTCTGTAAATGCCGGGTGTTGCCTCTCAGAGGCTGTCAGAGATGCTCCTGCGTTGGGTGGCCCCTCCTACCACGACTGGACTGCAGGGGTAGTCAGATTGTGGCACCCCACTCCAAGCCTCCAATCCAAGTGGGGTGGCTGGGTCAGGCCACGTGGGGTCGGCTTTCCATTGGTTCAGGGGTTAGACTGTGTCTACCCAGGTTACTCCTCCGGTAAAAAGTAGACTATTTTCAGAGCCTCATGTTTGGCT